TAGTAAAATCACTGATCTGGAGAGCAAGGCTGGACCAGTGTGAACATGGAAGAAGCTTTTCTGTGGGAGATGGGAAAAGCTTGTAGATCTGAAATCAGAAGAAAAGCCAGATTTCAACCTTAGTTGTAGTGGTTAACTACCTTAGCCCTAGTAATTGTTAATGAGTGTTCAGCATGAGCCAAACCAAATTGGCATCTATACAGAAGCAACATGGTCAGGTTATATCCAACCCAAAGTAGCCAAGAAAAGGTGGATGAAAGCCACACAACATGAAAGCAGTGTTCTTTCTTCAAAGCATTTCTCAGCCACACAGCAACCTGCATGGTGGCTGTTGGACCACAGGGACTGCAACCCTTTGGATCACCAGTGTTTTAGAGAGGTCTTCAGGCACAGCTGGGTGCCCGCTTTCATAGAACGCAGCTCTTTGCAGCCCCTCTCATCAGAGCTGCCTGTGTTTCCTGCACTCCAGGATCTGAGAGTGAACTCTGTCCCTCAGGTAACTCCAACAACTTCTCGTCAGGGTTTATCAGCTAGAAGTTAACTGGACTGTCCATGTCACACAGGCCTTTTGCAGATCACCAGCAAGGGCTCTCTAGGCCACCAGTGGCACACGGCCCTGTTTCAGAAGCAACGTGCTATAATAATGTATCCCTAACCATGCTTTATACCAATAAGTAGGCTATAACCCTGTCAAGGTGTGCTGGTGACTCTATAAACCATGAGACCTGAATGGTCAATGGTCGAGTGGTTTAAAGCTGTCACCAGAATACTGAGATAGCCTTATAAGCTTTGTGCTGCATGGCTGGGGATACATTATTCACTATAATATATGGTAAGAAATACCTGCACAGGGTCTGAAATGAAGTGCCTTAGCCACTAGCCAGCATGGCTAGTGATTGGGGAAATCCGTCAGCATTTTCATGTGCTGCAGGAGGCAAAAAGAGATGGACACCAGGGCAGGGGAGCTCACCTTCTCTGTGTAAAGAAACTGCTTTGTGCAGGGGACAGAGGGTGAACAGACCTGAGCATGGCTGAGCCCGTCACCTGTGCTTCCTTAGGGCAGCACTTGGCGCTGCTGACCTTCAGAGCTCTGCAGCTCCATGTTCCTGCCCCAGCCCATTCTTCTGTTTTGTGGAGGAGCCGTGAAGTGCTTGGTCTGTCAGTTCAGAGCTGCTCAGGGAAGGCATGTGAGGACCATGTGTGAGACTCAGCCGGGAGGTAGGGGTGTGTGGGCCATGGGCAGGGATGTTGTGCAGAGGACCATGGTCTAGAAAGGACATCCATCAGTTCTGCATCTTCTTCCCTCCAGCCATGGGCAGCCTTGGTGTGCATGTACATGGCTGGAAGGGTGAGGGAGGAGAAGGCAGGAGTAATAGGGTGAAGGGGTGCTCTGAATCAAACAGACAGCATATGGAGGGGGTAATAAGTGCTTTGATGAGGCACTGGAGGGGTTTATGGCAAAGCCTCTGTCCCTAACAACCTTGGCAAATAAAAGATTTCCCCATCTTGATAGCCTATGTTGCTCCAACCACAGGAGACAGTCCCTGACTGTATGCTCATGTGAGTACCCTTAGGTGGCAAGGGAAGAAAAGAAAGCTTGGGGAATTTCATTAGGAGATGGGAGGGGAGGGAGGAAAACCCTTTTCCTGAACAATAGACAGAGCTAAAATTGCCTGAAGGGCTTGGCTGGCTTGCTTTCTTTACTGTATTACTGTATATGCATATATACATACATACATATTTGTATGTGTGTATATATATGTATTCTCACACACACACACATGGCTTTACTGGTCTTTATCAGGAGAGGACTCAGGGGCATCCTTTCCTACTGCAGAGGCTGGGAGACAATAATGCTGGAGGGGAGGATGTGGGGAAGGGCCCTGCTCTGCCTGGGATCAGTAGCTGGGAGACAGGAGCCAAGGCAGAGGAATCTAGGGGCTCCAAGCATGGGTCTAGCTACCCCCTTGGCTCACTTGTTATGCTAAGAGCCCATCAACAGAGCAGGGACTCTGGGGTGCAGGGAAAACAGAGGGATGGGCTCTGAATGCAGCCTGTTCTCCATAAGGGTACATTGTCTGGCCTCCTCCCTCCGTATTGCCTCTCTCCCTACTGTTCTCACATCAAATGTTGTTTTCCCTTTTTATTAAAACCCTTGGAGTGGCCAGCAGGGTGACAGGCACCAGGAATTTGTAGAGGATGGAGGAGGACGAGAAACAAGTTTGTGTCTGTCAAGTAAAAGCCATGTCCCTTCATTCTCCTCCCTGACCTCCCTCATGGGCTCCTGTCTGGGCTGGACCATGTCTGGTGGCAACCTGATTTGGCAGCGTGGATGTAAGGGGCAGTGGGAAGTCTGCCCCATCTCAGTCACCCCATTGCAAACCCACAGCCCTCTGTTGCACCCTTATCTGTGTGTGGGGAGGTGCTGCTTCCTACTATACCACATACAGACCAAAAACCTCATAAAATAAAGTTTTTTCCCTGCAACACCCACCTGAACGGCAGCATTTGCCCTGTAGTGGTAGTAGCTTGATGGGCTCTCAGACCAGGGAAGGGCTCTCTGTCTCCCTCTGTCCAGTTCTTGCCAGGCCCCATAGTTACAGGTTTTCAGTCTGTTCCGGGTCCCAGTTTCTTTTAAAACCTCCACCATATAAGATCTTCTCATCCCTTTCAAGACATGCTCTTCTGGGCTACCCGATTTCTTATTTAAAACCTATTTTAAAGAGCTACTATGCCCCAGAAAACTCTTCCTGTATAATCACCCACCCCAAAGTACTACAAAACACATTAGAAAGTCTCTTCTTTAGTGATTTTTTATATTTGGTGTCAGTGAAGACAAAACTAATGGTGTCAAGCAGTGTAAGGAAGGGGAAGATTAAACAAAATCTATCCCCTGCAAAAACAAAGCAATCAATATAACATTATCCCGCTGCAGTGGCTTTCAACCTGCTTTGATTTGTGGACCCCTGGAAAATCTCTCATGAGAGCTCAACATCCCCCCCCCCACTGTGAAAATTCCCAAGCCCCAAACATCTTGGTGAAATTTCTTTTCCCACCCTCCTTACAATGAACCCATGTTCTCCCAGGAATCTGCAGACCACAGGTTCAAAAATACCATCCTACAGAATACCAATTCAAATGTAACTAAGACTAATTAAGTAGGGAGCTTCCTATTGTTATTGTAATACTCTCAGACCCCTCTTACCTGGAGAATCCATTTTGCCTCCTCTGGGATGCTATTGTTCTGGTGCCAACTTTCGAGCCTGTCTGCTGCAACATAGAAATACCAAGTTCCTCTGTTCACCCCATAGAAGAAACACAACACATTACAGGTGGCAGGAAAATTTATGGGCAAGTTTTGCTTTTGCAGAAAAAAAGGATTTTATTTTTTAAAGTTACCTCCCCCTTCCCCAATAACAATATGAAGAAATTATTGATTAACATCAAACCAAATTTGTTATTCTCATTTCCATTTTTGCTTCTGCTTTGTGTTCTCTCATTTTCTTTCTCAGACTTCAGTTAAACATTTCTGCTGGAGAGGGGAGCATCACCTGTATTTAACTGGCTTAGCACAAGAAAAACAGGAAAATAGGAATTAAGAGGGGTTGGTATCTAAGGTACAAACTATTTTATTTCTGTAGGCCATATGTTGACTATCTCTGTGTAACACATGAGACGCTGAAGAAATGAAGGTGAGAATCTTCAACAGCTACAAAACTTCTCCAGAATTTCCTTTTCATAAAAGGAAAAAAAGAAATACAGCAGCACCTACACCTGAAACCAGGGCATACAGCATTCAGAGATACTGCAAAAGATGTCGCAACAGAAAACCTGTGTTTTCTTCCAAGTTCTACAGATCTTTAAAGATGCTGCTCCATGAAATAACGAGTGGTTATTGGGAAATATATGCAATGAAAAATCATTTATTACCAGCTAATTGTACTTTCATTTCCTCCTCCTATCGTTGCAAGGCTGTGCAGGCTGGGGTTTGGAGCACTACATTCTATACCCCATCACAGCAGTACCTAATACAGCTAGGAGGCATAGCCACCTCCCTCACTTGCTATGTCCTTCTTGGCAAATAAACATACTTGGGACCCATAAGTTTGGAGTGGACTGTGGACTGGCAGTAGGTCCTCTTAACATTTTATTCCTGGCTTCTGTCATTGGCATGCTGTACAGTTGCAGTCAAATAAATGAACTTCTCCACATCTTAGTTGCCCTTTCTGTAAAATGAAGGTAATAATATTTATCCAGCTGGGATGCTGCAAGGAGTAATTAATGTGTACAAATCACTTTGAATTCCTCTAACAAAGTGCAAATTGTATTAGTCCCCACAGAAGCTGGTAATAGGTTTGTGTCTTCCTTCACTGAAGGTCTGACCTCATTTCCCTAGGGTAATCTTGAGGAAAAACTCTTCCTACTATTTGTATTACAACAGCACGTAAGGCCAGAATCCCCATTGTGCTCAGGGCTGTATGTTCATACAGTAACAGCTCACACTCCACAGACCTTATATTCAAACTGAGAAAAGATGGCAGAAAGGAAGCATTAACCCTATTTCAAAGGTAAACAACCAAGGCACAGAGAAGCAGCATCTTGCTGGTAGCAAGTCTATGAAGCAATATAATTCTTTTCAGAAGGCTGTCACCTCAGATTGACTTCCTGTCACAAGCTGAATTCTCTCCTTTCTTGTCTGGACAACAACCTTTCCCATTTTGGTGAGTGACAGATCAGCCAGGTGGCAATGGATGGAACTTGCTTCTTGTGGGGTACTTGGAGAGAGTAGTGTTAGGGCAAGTCAGGGTTTGCAGAGGAAGAAATGATGTGGCTTTGGGTAGAGTAGGTGACCATGGTCCTGTTCTTCATCTCATGCTCTTTTGAAGACCTGGACACATTCTGTGCTCTGATTTCTGCTATGGGGGGAGAGAAAGCAAGAGAATCCAAGAACTGGTGAAGTTGGCTTTGTAAACCTCATGCATAAATATCTGGGGAAATATGGAAGTATATCCAACAGCTCTTCTAGTATTTGCCATGTTCTTTTTTTGGCTGATATAACTGTTAATTTTTTGTTACTGCATCTGTAGCTTGAATAGAGCAGTTATTTCACCACCGATATACTGGAATTTTTCATTTTTGGACTGATGAAATGGTCTAAAACTTGATTCCATTTTTTCTCCCCTGATGTTAGAAATCAGTTTAAATTGTGCCTTTCCTGAAGAAAAAATAGAGTGGAAAAAAAGGCATGTCACAAAATTCCCTGTCAGTGTCAATGATGGTCTGATGATCCTGTTCACTTTCTGTATTTAGCTAGAAAATATGGCTCTGTGAAAAGCTGTATGTTTCACAGGCACTGCTGATATTTCATGGAGGAGATTGGAGTCAATGGTTAGCCTCCTTAGCCTCCTGTCCAGCTGGTCCTCAGGTGCATTGCTACTAAGCCACTTCTAATGACAATACCCAGATGGGTCAACAGACTTTCTGGGTGAAGATACCACCATTTCCAGTTCTCCTGCTCTCCCTAAAGACCTCAGGCACTTGTCATATGGAAGTTCAAGCAGCAAGGGGAGCCTCTGATCCCCAGAGGCACCTCCCACTGGTTTCAGCACCCAGGAGGCAAGCTAAGGAGGTATGACCCACATCGTCTTGATACCAGTGGGATGAGATGAAGGATGAAAGTTGCCATGATCAGACAGCTGGGGACTTAAGCCTCTGGTTGTGTAAATCATTCCCATTCCATGGATTTTACAAGACTGTGTTAATACACATCAGTAGAAGACCTCAGCCTCTGACTCCGTTAAGCCATGGGCTACTTCAGTGCTTAAGCAATCATATGTTGGAAAGGAGCCACCAAGACTGAGGGCACTTTTCCTTGGGTGATGCTTCCAGACCAGCCAGCAGAAGCTGAGCAGGACTTCCCTTCCTTCCCTTCCTTTGCCTGCCTGCTGCTAGCTGCCTGTGCTGCACACCTCTCAAAGCCAAGGTCCCTCCTCCACCGGCCAATGCTTGGCCAGAGAACTGGGAGCTGTTTATAGGCGGTATCAAGGACGGCTTTTGAACATAGCATGTGTAAGGATGGGAGGATGAGGGGAGGGGGTGGGGGAAGAGGAGAGGTACAGACACAGCACTCCTTGGCAGTGATTTATAGACTGGGTCAGGCACAAATTGACTCGTATGCAAGAAATGTAAATGGAATCGAGACTTTTGATGGAGAAGCTCATTTTCAGACTTAAACGCTTTAGATTAAACACACTCACACACAAATGCTGGCGGGGAGGGTGTTTTATATAATTTACATTACAAATCAATTCATTATCCACAGAGGCAGGTTGCACTGATTTTCAAGGATCGGAGATTTGATGAAGAGGATTCATTTCAAGAAATAAACCTTTTAAATTAACCGCAAGATGAGGGAAATTTCTTTATTTAAAAAATGCGCTAGCCCCTTCTTTGTTTCTTTTATTATTATTAATATTATTTTCCATCCGGCTCTGGGTCATTAAGGAGGGTCCAGAAGTCACAGATTGCCTTTCTGAAGGAGGAGAGCTGAGAACTTCGAATGTCACACATTTTGTTTGGCTCCAAACCCTTCATTTATTGCAACACAATTTGTTACCTGTGGTTGGCTCTGCACACCATTGTGTGCTGTGCGCCAGGACTGATTTAGCAGGGAATGTCCTCTCCACCTTGAACTTGAGAGGGGGAATATCTCTTGAGAGAGGCGATAGAAGAATCATGAAAGTCAGTCTTCCAGCTACTTAAGAAGAGAAATGCCCTTTGAGGTCTGGGTAAAGTCCCCTCAAGCTTTGACAGGGTATGGAGTTCAGGAAACCCTGGTTATAACAAAAGCAGATGGTTCTGTGAGGGCACATTTAGGATGCAGGGGTAAAGAAATGGAAAAAAAAGAAATCCTGGAACCAACATGTGTCCTGATGTGCCATCCTGCCATAGAGGTGTGCAGATCGCAGTGGACACTAGCCAGGGCTGGAGGCAAATGATGGGTCAAGATGATTAAAGGACTAATGCCATGTTACCCTGGTCTTCCTTGGCAAGGCTGCAAAGTACCATCTTTGAGGATGGTAGTTTCTTTCCGAACCATTTGGGAATAGTTTGTTCCCCTCCAGTCCTTCCTGGCCACAGCTTCCTTGTAGCTCCCTGCAAAAGCTCCTGCAACCTGATTGCAAATGTAGCCTCCCAGTTCCCCAGCCTTCTGCCTAGCTGCAGCATGGAGAGATGCAAAACAAGAGTGTTGGAGCAAGCGTCTGCTGTCTTCTATAAGAAAACTTTTCTTTTTTAGATAAGTTCATTTAAAACCCCAAATGGTTGAGCCTCTTTCCTGTTTAAACAAGAGCCAGTCCTTCAGAAACACAACTGCTCACCTAACCATAGATAACCACCTCAGCTGTGTAGGATGAACCTGCACCAGAGGCCCTTCACAGGTAATGTCTGGGAATGGACAGCTTTTGGGGTCTGGAGCCATCTGCATCCCTCGCTCCCAGTGAGGCTTCCTGATCCAAACCCTAGTGCGGGGCCTCCTTGAAGCCATCCTCTTTGCAGGAAGATCCTGGCCACTGGTGAGACTGTACAGGCAGTGCACCACTGTCCTGGGATGAGAAGTGCAGCGTTTGCCCTACTGAAGTGTCTCAGAACAGGTCAGGTAGGCAGCAGCAACTACCTGAGCTAGAGGGGAGCCAAGACACCAGGGTTAACAACCCTCATCTTGGGAAGAAAAAAGACACAGGATCTTTAACGACCAAAACGGCTGAGACCTTTGTTTTATATCTCTTCTGAAAAGCAATCACGCACATTTTAGCAGGGGAGCTTTTATTCTCATGCGGATGGGGTAGCCAGTGCAGTGTCCTCTCCCAAGCGCATCCGGACCTGGTCAGTCCAAGTGCACAGAAGAGCAACATGAAACATGTTTGACCTTCACAACTTTCCTTTACAGACCAGCAGGCTAAAACCCTGAAGGAATTTTCCTGAGTGAGCTTGTCCAAAGCAGCGTTCACCACCTCATTCAATATTTGCCTGGAAAAAAAATGCCAATTATTGAAAGACAGTCCTGGCTGGGCATCAATAGGCAGCCAGGTGTGAGAAGTTGAAGAGAAATGCATCTCATTAATGTGGAATTGTTTTTAGGTTAATAATCTTGCGTTAATTTTCCTTTAAAATATTGTCTTTGACCGTTAAACGCTTGCACTGTTATAAAAAGAACGTAATAAATGATCTTGAAGCAAATTCTCCTGCCAAATGTCATAATTTATTTGCATAATTAGCTCTTAATTTTAATTCAATATGCAAATCCACGCTTCCTTTAAATTGCAGCAGCCTGTTTCCCGGCCCTGGCTGCCATGAATTTATTGTGAGGCGGCTGTTTGAAAAGGCAGCTTCACTGCCTTCTGGGGATGGCTGCCTGGGGGAGGGGGTGCCCACCGCCAACTCCAGGCACTTTCTGTTTGGGTTCTGTTTTGGTTCGCTTCTTATTAAGTTGGACCCCAACCTGCTTCAATCCCTGAACACTCTCCTCTTCCCCCCAACAAGTCCTGTTTCGCTTTGTCTTCCTTCTGCGTTCTCTCTCTCTTTTCTTTTCCTCTTTGGAGAAGACAATGTTGATCCTCTATGTTCCCTGCCCCTTGGTTCCCCCCCTACTCTCTCCTGAAAGGGTCTGGATCAAGTCAACCTGGCAACTGCTCTGCTCTCCTCCCTGCTTTGGCTCCCTTTCCTCAGCCCTTGCTTGCTGTGTAACAGCCCCTGTTCAGTGCCTTTTTGAGGTGCCTGGAGGAAGGTGAGCAGGAAAGGGTTGGCTTACCCATGGGGTTTCATCCCCCAGTCCCTATCCATGGCCAGAGGCCCTGCAGATGGCCAGAACCCCATCTCACTTCCCTGCCTGTGCCCCCATGGCACACCAGACTGTGCTCCATGCTAAGCCACCCCAAGCCACTGGGCTCACGGCTGGGGAGCCTGCAGTGAGCAGGAGAACTCTGAGCAAGTCCCTGCTGCAGGGGAGCAGATGAGGCTGTTGCCCTACATAGATATCAGCTAGCTGCGGAGCTGGAGCAGGGTGCTCCCTTCCCTTGCTACATCCCCATCTCCAGCACCCCTCCATGTTTGTGCCAAGGCTCTGCATTCAACAGGAGAGTGGCAGACCAGACAGCTCAGCATCAGCCCACACCTGGGCTTGGGTGCAGCTCTTGCCCAGTGCCCTGGGCTGTGCAGCCAGCTGGCAACAGGCACTGCTCCTCTGCTACGAGGAAAATATCCAAATGAAACAGTTCACAGGCTTCTGCTCCCTCCCCTCTTTCAATCCAAAATGGAAACAGGACTTCAGCAACCACAGAGTTCCCCCAGGTAGAGAAGGTGGCTTGCAGAAGACAGCATGGACGGCTTCAAGGGATGACTCCTTCTCTCCTCTGTCCTCCTCCCCAGTGGTGTAACCGCACTTGGGGTGATGAGGAGCCTGGGCATTGCTCCTAGAAGCTCACTGTGGTTGACACAGGGCCATGGGAGCCAGATCTCTGGAGGTTTTTCATCACCTTGTCTCTTTGACAATGCCTGATCAGTGAGGGCTGTGAGCGCTGTGTTCTGCAATTCCCTCTAGCTTCACATCCCAGGTTTTGTCCCTGGAGCACAGGGAGCAAGGAGGACACCCAGATACTCCTGCCCTTGCAATTCACAGCACAGGGAGAGGAGTGGAAGAGATGGGTGATGGAGTAATGTGAGCCCAGGGTTTCACACACAGATTAGGGAATGGAGCAAAAGGGACAAATTAGCCTAGACAATAGGAGATCTTTTTCACTGGGGGAGGACTTGGGGGAGAGGAAGATAATTAAATGTTGCTCCATCAAAGCGGAGGCAGTTTGCAAGCTGCTCTCCCTTGTAACTCTATCGCCTTCACCTCCCAGGGAGGACCATGAGGGTTGACAGCCATCCCCTGTGCTGGTATCGGGTGCGCTCCCTCCCCTGGGAGCACCGGGAGGCAATGGGGGTGCCTTGGCAGAGGGAGAGTCTGGGTTGGGGGCTGTAGGAAGGAGAGGGTATTGGTATCTCATTACAGGCCTTAGATCTCTGGAGGGGAAAAGAAAAGAGAAAAAAAAAACAAAACCAAACCCCCAAACCCAACCACAGGCTTTTGTTAGAAACACTGTCCGGGAAGGAAGGAAGAGGCAGGAACAGCTCAAATTCAGTCCTTCGATAATTAAAGCTTGCAAGAGAATAAAAGGGGAGGGCAAAAAAAAAAAGGGCTTTCCCTCCTCCCACCTGCTCCCAAAACAGGGCTGCTGTGGCTTCCCCGGGAACAAAGGGATATGGTGAGAATGGGCTTTTGCTTGATCCCGCAGCGGCTGGGAGGGAGCAGCGGGACAAACGTGTGGCCCTGCAGATGGGAGCCCCTCATCAAAGCCAGGGAAAAATAGCAGGGAAATGTGTCTTTCTGTTCTACCGTGCATCAGAGCAGGGCTCCGACTTCCCAATTCAAGGAAAATTTGGCAACTGAAGGCAAAAATATTTCAAATCCAAAACTGACCAGAAATAATTCAAACCTCTGCGCTTTCTGCTCAGTGAAATAAAGGAGAGGGAAATCCAGCCACTGGGCAACCCACAGACCCTTCCTGACATGGTCTGACTGATCAGAGCCTCTTAAAAAACCACAAGTAAACCCAGGACTATTTGGGACTTGAGACAGCAGGGGTCTGGGGGCCTCCCAGGGGCTCTGTGGGGCAGGCAAAGGGAGTGGAAAAGACTTACCATTACCTGCATCCAAAGCTACTCTTCTCCTGCATCCGCCTGCTGCATGTCTTGGGACCTCATGTATGTCTCTGGGTTTAGTGATGTTCATGAAAAGCAACCAACACGCACCTCTAACAGGACTCTCAGGAAAACATCCCCTTTCTCAGCTCTTAATGTGTTCGAGGCTTTTTCCTTTTTCCCCCCCTCCATCTACTGCCTCTATTACTTCTTACAGCTCCAGACCTCACATGCTGTTTTCCCCCCCAAGTATCCTCTGCTTTTCCAGCTGAGGATGATGCTGCTGAAGCTGGTGATGAGCCTGTGGAAGCCTGGGCAGGAAAGTTTTACTTCCAGATTTCCCTATGGCAATAAGCAATGCCTGTCGGTCACTTTCCTGTGCCTCAGTTTCTTCACCTAATAACTGGGGATAATATGCTCTCTGGGTCTGTGAAATCTCATATAGGAACCTGATGGAAGCTACCAGCTCCTTACTAACACAATGTCCACAGGATTGTTGTGTGTTATGTGCTTTACGAGGTGTCAGGGCAGAATGGATGCTGTTCTGTGCTGTATGCCACCACATCTCTGTGGCTTGATTCCATGTCCACTCCCGACCACAGACCTGTGATGACAGCTTTTGTACCTCAAACCCCAAAGGACCAGGGCCTTTGCACTGTGTGGTGCATGTCGCAGAGATAGGATACGCAGCCAAATACCCATGGTGGGGAGCTACCAGAACCCAAGTGTGGCACTGCAGGTGGACTGTGCTCCTCGCTGCTGGAATGGCGCTCTGTTAAGATAATGATAAATAAAGCCCCTGTAGGAACTCAAGAAACTGAAAATAAAAGTGATACAAGGAGACCATTTTAAAACAGCTGATGCTGTGGCTCCTGGAGGCTGGTTTTGCAAGGCCAGCATCACCAGTTTTGCAGTGATGCTGTGGGGTGACACCAGCCTGCTGTCACACTGGATTAGAGAAGGATAAAAGCATGCTTTCTGCCCCTCCCACAGCCCTGCTGTGTGATCTGGGCTCATCACTTAGGTGTCCAAGTGATTTTGCCTACTTGGCCCATCTAAATCAGAGCTGTTTGGGTGGACATGATCTCTCACCTGCTTAGGATGGGCTGCAGTGGGTTCTGTGGGTCATCAGGGACCTCCAGGCTCCCTGGGAGAGCAGCAAGAAGCAGGTTTCCAAAGGCTGATGAGGTTGTGTGCTTTGGTTGCACTGCCTGAATGAGCAGTCTTGTTATGCTGTGTATCCACTCCTAGGGACCAGGGATATTGGCATCCTTTAAAGATAAAGGAGAAAAAATGCCCCAGATTTCTCTCCCCACCCTGCCTGATCCTCACAGGCCAGCCTGGTGCAGTTCAGTGGTTCCCTGGTGCTTGACGCCCTCTGAGTCTTCACACTAAGAGGGCTCAGGACATGAAGCTGATCAAGCAATTGGATTGCCTTAACATGCTTTAGTGCTTTATAATACCTGCCATTCTCCATGGTTGAGTCTGTTTCTGATGCTTGCCATATTTGAGGGTTATACTGCTGTGCTTTCCATGGTCCATGCTGCCCTTCTGCTAAATGCTGCCTTCTGTCTTGCTCAGTTAATGGTTAAAGTGGTTGCCACACCAAGCCAAGGCTGGCCCTTTGGCTACCTCCCTGGTTGGCCCAGCAGGAGGGGGCTGGCGAGACCCCCCAGCCACCCCGGCTCCCCAGGAGCGTTCCACACAACGCCTGTGGAAGTGTACAAAGTGTCAACCTCAGCGTAGTTTTTAACCTGGAGTGATAGCTTTACTGATTTGCCACTTTACTACTCTTGTTAATGAATTTTTAATCTTCTTAATGACATTAAACACGGAAAGTAATTAAGGAAAACAAGTTTGAAACTGCTGACTTAAACCCTTTATTCAGAACTATTTAATGTAGAATTAATTTGATTTTGCCCATTATTCAAATGAACACATTACCTTCCTGTGCATTGGCCTCTTTTCCTTTATTTTTTTTCCTGGTTTTGTGTGTGTGTTTTCTTTTATTAAATATATCGTATAATGCTTTGTCCTCTTTGATCGGAGGTAACTATGGGGTTTCTCTCTCCCAATGACAGAAAGGGTCAGCCTTTGGCATCTCTCATGGGTCTTGTAAAGTCTTCCTGCATCAAGAGTTCAGCTGTGGCTGGGAACAGAGGTAGCATGCCTGAAATACCAGGTTGCTTCCACTTGCTCGATTAGGAGAGAAAGGAGCTTTGCTTCTCAGTGAGAGCTGCCAGACTGCATCCTTAGCACAGGATGTCATATCTACGGCAGGGAGCAAAGCCATGCTGATTTACATCAGACTGTCAGGCCTCTGCAAAGCAGAGAGCAGAGGCTGATGTAAACACTTAGGGAAAAGCAGATGCTCAGCTTTGTCTTACAGTGGAAGAAAGGGGTCTTTGAAACTTGTATCACCCCTTCATTGACACCGCAGGCTAGACCTGTTTTTTCCACCCTTCTTAGGCATTATTGGCTCTGACCCACATGTA